AGTGCGGACTTAGGTTTTTGTGTGGTTCTATCTCCTCTAGCTACTTCTTATTTAGTAGTGAGAATGGCGGGTACTTACCAAGGAGTGGGGCCACCGCGGGCCGTTCGTACCGCCTTGCCACGATGCCTGCAAGCCAGCTGAAGAGTCGTTTGTCCTTCGCAGATGAGACCTTCGATGACTTAGTTGAACACATAGGTAACGAAGTTCCACACTCTTGTTCCTTTTGTTTGGTGCCCGCTCCATGAAAATCATGAAAGTATGCTCTCAAAACTTGTTATTTCCAAAGGGCCCCCTGTGCAGGTGAGGAGGAGCCTGGGCTGCAGTGGATGCAGGACTTCTGGCACCGAGTGCTTGTTGGAGTGCCTTTGGCTGAGAAGGGCCTTTGCCTCCGCTCTGCTGGCCATTGGATCGGCATTTTCAACCGCTGGCAATCTGCGGGAGGCTGGCAGCCGGGATGTGCGCCAGGGTTCGTGGATGCCTACCAACTGCAAGAATTGTTAGATGTTCCAATGCAACGGACGATGGAGTGGGTCAGGTTGTTTGACCCACCTGGCTACGAGCGGCTTAAGCGAAGCAGGTCCTCGATCGACCACAAGAAGGTGAGAGTCAACGTTCCGGCCTTCATGACTGCTGGCATCTTCGTGTCCACTGCCATCTCCAAGAGGCAGAAGATGCGCTTCCTGCTGGTCATGTTTGATGAGAATGACAGTTCCACTTTCGAGGCCTGATCCAATTGTCACGGTAGGTATCTAGGGACGGAACCGTCAAGCCAAACAGAATTGCGAGGATAGAGAGCCTCCTGCACAGGCTCGGGAGTTCATGGAGATGATCTCTTCCTTTTATCTCGGCATCGGCTGCTTGTTCGGTTTGCTTGACGTGCTCCCGAAAAAGGCCATGCGCCAACAAATCGGAAACCAACTCTTTGAGAGGATGGTAAAGATGGCTTCATGCAAGATGCCTTTCTGGGAGGCACGACGGGTTTGAGTTTGGAGGTTGCCCAGATGAATGCAGTTGTTAGTGCATATCCTTTGGTAGTTTTAGGCATCTCAAGATGCGAGGCACCTGCGCTCCCAGTAGAAACTCCGAGCTGAAACCTGTTTATATTACGAGGCAGTTCTTGACACAAGCTAAGCACACGCACTGCATGTTGAGCCTTCGCGGTCAGGCGAAGAAACTTGCTGCCGCAGGACACGTTCCATTGGACCTCGCAGAGCAGTGGCTTCTGGGCGAGATGGGGGACCCCCTCTCTGCTCCGTTCGCACTCTTGCTAGAGCGCTTCTCGACGCGGGGCCTGGAAGATGATCCTGAGCTCTTTGAAGATGAGCATCAAAAGTTTCGCCTTCTGCACACACGGCCTGTGGAGGTACCATTGGAGATGGCAGTGACCTTACATTCGGCCTTTCTTCGCCGAGATCAATTGGCAATTGTTCGCGATGTGTTCAATTTCTGTTCCACGCAGCTTGACTTTGCAGTTTCCCACGAAGAAGCGGAAGCAGCTATTGGCAGGGCCATTGATACGGAATTTTGGTGCGGCAAGCTCCGGAAGGGACTTGAGGAAGTGGAACAAATCCGTCTGAATCTAGCCTGGCAGGCTCTTGTTTTGCTGTTTTTAGTGCCTGTGCCTTTGCTTGATCGCTCATTTGAATTCAGAAAATCTTTGGAGTCCCTGTCATTTTTGTTTCAGGAAACAGAGCCCACAGCCTACATTTTGGCCTCTTAAAATTGGTGTTTAGATTCGAAGGACGCTGAGATGCAACAAAAAAGGTGCGAAGCGCATAAGCCTCCATAGACTCCTTAGAAGCACTGCGGCTGCAGAAACCCACAAGCTTGTCATGTGCTAAGCATACCCCTCCCTTCAATTCAACTTATATAGTGGCATGGGTTCATTTAGACACGGGAAGCCCTGCAGAGCCCGAGGAATGGATCCAAGCTGACTCTCAGCTTGTTTCTGAAGAAGCTTTGCCCCGAAGCAACTGGCCGCCACCTCCGAATGTTCCAGAATTGGCTGAAGGAGTTGGACCATTTAGGAGATTTGCATCAGGAGGCAGTGCGTTCCTGAAAAAGGGTACATCTGAAGCACACCGCTACAAATCCAACGATGAAGTCGGCGATTCTTCAAGCGAGCAAAACATGAAACGCTTACGTAGGAACATCCCCAGGTTGCTCTTCATCGTCATGTGCTCGAGCAGATTCAAGAATTCATCAAAAGGCCAAGGTTGCTGGCTGATTTGCGACAACAGTTCCGAGTCTCGCAGTAAAACCCTTGCTTCCGCCTTTTCAGAGGCTACGTTCGCAGTATACATGCACAATCAAACACACGGCGCCATTGCATTCCTAGATTACAATGACAGCAGATCCCAGGCTTTCGGAGGAGTATGATGATCTTCACGGCGCAACGAGCGCCGAGCAAGTGTTGCAACACAACAAGGTGCTCAAAAGATTTATGAACAAACGAGCTGGGGTGACCATGGAGGACTACATCATTGCCATGTGTCCCCCCATCTATCGTCCTCATGACGCCAAACCTGCGGTGGATGAGGCCATCACCTTCTTGCTCCAAAGGCGCTGAGACTTGCGTGTGGGTTTGAGTTAGCATGAACAGCTCTGTTTCAAAGAAGCAGCTATTCCCTTCCATGGCGTTGGAATTGAAGTGCATTGGTGTTGAGAAGTTGTTCTTGGGATTCCGAGGCGGCTGGCGCAGCTGGAGCAGGCCCTCACCCAAACCAAGATGCTCTTTTCAGCAGGTGGAACTGCAATTCCCAAGACTTTCATCAAGCCAGCTGTCCCAGCAAGCCAATGGTCTTTGTGGAAGGAGGCATACGACTTGATGGACCTAGCAGGTACAGGACACATCACTTTGAAGGCGCTCGTCCGCTCCAACGATATTTGGGCCGAGGGTTGTGACCTCGTGTGCCAGATTGTTGGCGGAAGCAAGGTGGGTCAGGAGCCCGGATTCAGCAAGGAAGAGCTTCTAGGTCGCCCAGGTACCCTTGGTAATTTTCTCAGAGCAGAATTATGCATCATCATTTCTATATGCGTTCGTGCCAACATTTTTGTATAGATATTATATGCAGCTGATTTTTGTTTGGAGGGATCTAGCCTTTCACCCCGAAGCAATAAAGCAATTCAAATCTCAACTTCGAAGCTCCATGACCTGGAATGCAAGGTTTCTACTACGAATGCTGGACCTGAGCGGTTGCCGAGTGAGGAAAGAGACGCTTCTTGCGGGCAGACTTTGCTGACCCTGGCAGCATGCTTCATACACATATGTAACAATGCGGTATTGACTGCGCACCAATGACCTCTTGGTTGAGTCGCTGGGCAAAACCTGCGATAATGCCGTGTGCGCGTTGAAGCTCCCGAGTAGTGTTTCCTACCTCCGTGGAATTCCGTGGAAACAATGTGCATATCTCCTGTGACCAAACGGTCAGACGTTGAAAGGTTAATGGTTGCCAAGGTTTGAGCTCCGTTAGGATGAGCTCTCACTACCGACTTGCAGCTCCCGGGGTGTCTGAGAAGGTGAACAGCACTATACAGGAGTCATTGTTGAGCCGGTGAATGGATGAAAAGAAGGGTTTCGCAAGGCTTCACGACTGTACTGTTCTTGGCTACGCTCTGCCGCGAGAACTCCCAAACACCAGCTGCGCTGGATTTCATGGCAAAGCCCAAAAAAGATCCTGTTTTTCCAGGCATGGCTAGGTGAAGGGTTTCAGACACGAGGCGTCCATTTTGCAGAGGGTTCCAACGTGTGGTTCACTCTGAAGGTCGTTGGGATCTTCGAATTTGGTTTCATGTCGGGGCTGCCAACATAACTAGTCAACATGCAGCATAAAGCTCGGCAAGGGATTGTTTGCAACATAGCCAGCGGAGGCAACTTGCCCGCAAGCTTTTGAATGTACACACAACCATTCTTTAAGGGAAAGGTATTAGAGGGCCTTGCCGAGATGCAGGATCTTCGTTGATCGTACAGATGCTCAAGGCATCTGGTCCTCTTCAATCTTCTGCCGCATGGTCATGGAAACATGGACAAGCTAGAGGTCCGAGGTAGATCTGAAGTAGACGCTTAAGCTCCCTTCATTGACTGTCTTGGGTTGAGCTTTAGGGCCTGGGGCGGCACCAGTTTCCTGAGACTGGGGTGTCTTTTCAGCCGCAGGGTGGCTGAGGGTTTCCAGAATTGTGCTGGGGCCCTACTTCCGGTCATGCGGGGCTGCGAGTGAGGGGTTCAGATAGAGCTTCGATCCTGACGACTTACCCAGAAGCTCTAGTTTGAACCATCCGCATGCGGACTGTGCCTCGGATGCTGCTGTGAGCCGCAAATACATTCAGACACGTTGGCTTCCAATATATGCACATGTTCTTGGGAACCGAGAAGTCCGAAAGGACAGGGCCTCTACAGGATCTGAACTACTGGAGGGTTTCAGTTTCTGCCAAGATGACACGGATGTCTGTGGGGGTATAGGGGGATATAGGGGGATTTCTCCCACTTCGATGGAATTTGCGTGGCCGCTTGGTTCCCGCGTAGACTCATGACCTTACACGCTCCCATCTGCCAGAAGGCTTTGTGAGATGGGCGGTTTCAGATGTTAAAAGACTCGCGAACCCTTGCAGCTTCGGGATGTTCAGGGGCTTCTGTGCAGGCATGGAAGGATGTGCACTTGAAGTGTGATCTCCTCGGACATGCAACCCAGCTGTTGGCTCAATCCGTTCAGAAGGCCGCATGAAATGCTGCAGGCAATCTTCTCTGCCACAACGCTTACATCAACAGCAGTTACACCTTCTTACATGATGGATGGATGCAGCAGCACAAGGAGCGGACCGAAAAAAATGAAAAGAAGAACGCCATAAGTCTGGGGAACGTCCCCTTTGCTGCCTTGGCGCATTCTCAACTTGAGCCAGTATTGATCCCGCGAGCAGCTGATGACATCAACAGTTGATGTGTTGCAGCGAAGTTTGAGCTCAAACCCAGGTCTGCCCACGTTTCCTCGTGTTTGCATTTCTGAATGTCGAGTGGCACTATTGCCGCTGTCGCGGATCATGTGTCGAGCTTGTGGGTTCGATCCAAGGGGAGCCTCAGCTAGAAGGGAGCCGTCATCAACAGCAGTCAGTTCTGCTGATATGGGGCTTTGTACATGCAACGTGCGCTTGGCTTGGATGCACAGACGGTAGCCAGCTGCTGCACTACCAGCAGTTGCAAGTTGCACTGCTGCAAAGATTCCTTTGGCAAGACGCCGCCGGTAACCTGCTTGCTGAAGAACAGGCAATGCATTGCGCACCACTCCATCTGAGGACACTAAAGGCTCCTGATGTGGATTCCCATCATGTGCTCGGTGCCTGCGAAGCATATAAGATGAATTTGGCAAGCAAGGGCAGACCCAATTGTTTTAGCAACAGTGGATCAACGGCCAGAAGCCTGAGGACCGCAAGAGGAATTGCGTTTTTACCATCGCTCCCATTTCGAGCCTGGCCATGCTTTAGGGGTATCTACTGGGGATGGAGTCCGCGAGAGAGAGAGAGAGAGCGAGACAGGGGTTACGTTTCGAAGTTTCAGGTAGCGTATGCCTGTAAACGCTAATTGGTGGACCTCCCAAATTTGCTGTTTGCAACCGATGGCTCAGGGGGGAGCAACACCAAAGACAGACGCATTCGGCTTTGCAGTTGGGCGCTTGTGGCCTTTCAGTTGCATGAGGGTCAATTGGTTGAGTTAGGCTGGGTGAGAGGCACTTGTCCAGATGGGCAGCATACGGTCCCGAATGCAGAAGCCTACGCCCTGCAGCAACTCTTGCAACACACCACAGCCGAGACCCTGACTTGCGTGGTTGATAGCACCATTTGCATCAAACGTTTCCGGAAGCTAGAGCGAACCCGCATGGCGAGGCTCCAGAGGATGAGCAATGCGGAAACATGGGCTCAAATCCGGGAGTCAAGCAAAGGTAGATCGATTAAACTACGGTGGTGCAAATCTAATCTGATAGAGGATCAGTTTAGGGCACGTTTTCCTGAGGAGGATGTCAGCATGCATCAGGCAAATGCCAGGGCCGATGCGTTAGCCACTGAGTTCATTGCAATGGTTGAGAGACAGCATGTAGTTGCCAAAGCTCGGGATGTCAACCGTTGGCTTGATACACGAACACTTCTTGTACAGCAGAAGCTCAGAGAGCGGGCCAATTTTCTTTTAGCACAGGGGGAGAAGTTGGGGCCTTTCAAGATGTTTTGGCCCTGCAAAACCCAATAAGAAGCAGCTGCTACTTGCCTTGCCCTACCATAATCCAGAGCACACTTGGCGATTGAAGTTGAGTGGGGCCGAGAGTGAGTGTGTGCGGTGTGGTTTGTTCATAAGGCAAGCTTATCACAAGGGCAAGTTCAAGCAACTTATGCAGCTTCCACCAGTAGAGCTTCCCGTCCGATGTGGGGTCCACCATACCCACACTCTGGCAAAGGAAGGCAGATTTTGGAGGTGCCTTTTATGTGGTGCTCGGAGCACCTATGCATCGCTCATTCAGGGATGCAAGCGATCCCTAGTACAGACCTGCAGAAGCAGGTAGCTAACATGCTTACCTCATTGAGATGTTTCATGTGAAAAAAAAACGCTAATTGGTGTGCAAGACCACCACATCCTGGTCTGCTTGTTCCACATGCACACATGCCTGTTGGCCGGAGACTGGGGCCAATTCCAAGTACTCGTAGTTGCAGCTCCGTACATGTTATTTGCCCTCCATCCGTGCCCTTACATGGTGATACAGATAAACCTGCGTCCTGCTTTCAAAGGAGCCCTGGGCGCTTTCGCCCTTGCTGCTGGACAATGAGGTTGCAGTGACAAGCTCGCATCATGACAGCAAGCCAGGAACAGTCAGCTCGCATCTCGTGAATCTCCATTCAGCTGAAACTGTGAGCATTCAGCTTCAAAGCTTTCAACAAATTCAACAGGCGGGTGGTTGTCACGGAAAGTTACACCACACGGGTGGACTTCAAGCGCTTGGGCTTTCCAACTGATGCATCTTGGTCCGCCAAACAACGGCCAGACATACTCCATGTGTATGCAGGCTCTGACGTTGCCAGCAGGTCGTAATAGCAGCTCGCATCACTAGACCTATGAAAACACGTTGTGGAAGCAGCCGCTTAGCTCAGGCTTGCGACAGCTGGAAACAGGAGTCATTTGACCTCGAAGTCGTCCGAGGTGCTTCTGCAGCAGGTAAATCGGTCTTGCATCTTGATTGCTTCATGCGCAAGGCTATGAAGCACAGCGCGTAGTCCCGAAGCTCTGGCAGGCTGTGGGTTGAATGTGGCACGGGCTGTATTTTTCGTTTGCTGTCTGCCTGCAGTAGAGCAGCAGGATAAGAAACGTGGTTGGTGCAGTCAGATACTACAGGATCTGCAGGCTGCAAGAGAGAGAATTGCCCAAGACCCCTAATTGCCTCCCTGCATGTCCCCGCAAATTGACGCTTCCCTGAGCTTCTGCTACCGTTGATGGCCCTGGCCTGGTGCTCCTTGGCATGTTCCATGAGGACAGGCTGAGGACAGTAGCGCAGTGAGATATCTTGAGGCATGTGACAACTCGTCTTTCGGAAAAGAACTCCTTAATCTCAGGTGCGCTGGTGCTGTCTGAGAAGCATCCGAACGTGCTTGACATCATCCATGATATAATCATCATGCTGCCGATTGAGCATGCTCTCTGGCTTGCTGGTGGCACTTGTCGGGGTCTGCCAGTTTGCGCCTCGGATAATTGGCAGCTGCGCGGTGTCAATTGTTGCATGGCCCAGCATCAGGGAACAGTCTTGCTTTCCTGGTATCCAGCATACAGCAAAGCTTAGCCATTAACAGCGCGATCTTTTTTTTTCTTTTTTTTAGGGGCGCGACACGAAGATTTACAGGTATTAAACGACTAAACTTGTACTGGTACTACCGGAAAACAATAATCCATTCGGTTGCCGCAGACGGCCATTCCAGTAGTAAACTTGTAGAACCAGCGAACGAAAGTCCATCTGGTTGCCCCAGACAGCCCTTCCACCACTCATGTTGTATCATGTTGTACTACCAGAGAACGAACATTCATCCGATTGCAGCGCCCATTCCAGTTCTACAGATGAACTACATGCGAACGAAGATCCATCCGGTTGCCCTAGACGGCCCTTCACAATACTTGTACGAAAACCCGGGTCATGACGGTAAATATAGAATGGACGCAATTTATCAGTGTGCGCCAGATCATATAGCGCGGAAGATGTTCGATGGGAAAACGACAAGAGTCAAACAAGTGATAACGTGTTAAACACAACAGTAAGGCTGGCCTTCAGTTTTTTGGCGCCGCTCAGTTGTGCACGGATACTAGACGTGTTCTTCACAAGAAGTGACAGCGAACCCTGGGGCTTTGTTGACATTCGGCATGCAGTCCGGAGCTTTGAACTTTGCTCTCGCAGCGCAAAAAACATAGCGACTGTCCATGTCGTAACATGCAGCTGCTACCATATGCTCCACCAAGTCGCTGCGCTCATGGCGAGCAAACTGCTGCACACACTTGCCAAGGCTTTGCCAAAGGAGCAGCCTTTTGCTTTTACCAAAGCCTTATGGCCTGGTATTGATGTCATCTTTTGTTGTTGTTCCCTGACAATCATTTAGCAGTGAAACCATAAGAACACGAAGGCTTGCTTAATGCTGACGGAGCCCAATTTATGCCTTGGCATGCGGCCCATGTCACCACGTTGCTGCCCGATGGCTGTGCTTGTAGTACTGGATGTGGCACTAAACCTCATTGCGATTGCTGTAGCATGCGCGTGTCGAGTCTGCCTGCCTGTGTAGTCGAATGGCTGTGCCCGCGTGACCTTTTCTGTACGCAAGCCTTTGGGAGACGTGTAGCACAGTCATCTTGCTCCGGATTTCTTGCCACGCATAAAAGAATCAAAGATAGCAAAGAGACAACTCAGGCAGACATTCTGTCGCTGAACCACTTCGAGCGGCCGCAGGGGTCGCCCAACTTGGACGTCTGCTGTTCTTCTTGCTTTGTTTTGCTTTGTCTTGATGTGGCTTTGTGTGAATTTGAATGCTTCAGCCATTGGCCATCAGGCGATCAGGAAGTATTCGCAGTTGGGACAGGGAGGCCCGCCGGCTTTGCTGGAAATAGGGCGTTCCGGCACCCTGGCTCAATGTGGATTAGGAAAGCTGGCATTCCGAGAGTGTAGGGTCCCGCTTGTTTTCCGCAAAGGGATGCGAGCGTTGCAGCACCGCTCCCGACATGCAAAGTCTGCGATAGCCTGGAGCTTTCGTGCCTGCGTCTTAAGTTCGCCTTCTAGATTCGCAGGAGCCGTTGGCAAGCTACAGACTGTCTAAGCGCAGGGTGTACTTGTTTCGACGCATAGGGAGTCCTTACATAACATTCTCATTCAGCAAGCTGCTGCCTTGCTGCTATCTATCGGACAATGGCATCGCGCACGATGTGAATGTGTGTTTTGGATTGTGCTGGAGTTTCTCAAGCTCCTGAGGTCCTGAGCTATCACTCGCAAATTGTGGCATCTAAAATGGCAAGGCCGTCCGCACATAACAAATTTGTGTGTGCTGAGGCTATCGAAGCAAGAGGTACAGAAGGGCCAATGTCATTCAGCCAGGCGTGGAATGACTATTTGCCGTCCAGGTCCGTATGTTGGAGTGTGAAAGCCAGAGCTTTTGCTGCTGATGAGTTTCTGGCGCATCCGGCTATCACACTGTGTCTGGCTTGCCTTGGCGCAGACCCAGCAGCGCCTGTATCAGCTACTACCAGCTTTAAGGCGACAAGCAGGCCAGTGGCGCTCTTGCTCGGGGCTCTGTGGCTGGGCCTGCGCATGCCTGCACTATGACAGGTCCGACGAGTCCGACGGCTCCGACGGGTCCGGTGAGCCCGCAGTGCCCGCAGGCCTGGCTTTGACACGCTCGTGGTGTTTCAATTTCAACATTTGTGCCGGAGTCTGCTGAGCCTGCCAGATGAGTGCACGGACTTCATCCCCTGGAGCGATATGGATGCCAACGATTGTCAGAAGTATGCGGAGCCACTTGCTATCGTCTAGCTACTCGTACGTCGGAGTTCCGCCTTGTGAAGTGATATGAAGTGATAAATGGCTGAGTGGATCCTTTTCCTTGCGGTTCAGAAGCACGAATGTCCATAAATTCCTGCATGAGGGAAGGTTCCATTAGCGCTGAGCAGTCGATCTTCACATGCAGCATCTTGCAACCATGGCACCTCGCAGTTGAGGATCCTTACAGTATTGATTCTGCTCATGACATGAGTTAGACTTCCCAGAAGACTGAGGCCTGGATGGCTGTTGTCTTGCCATGACCTTCCAACTGTTCACGAGCGCATCAGCGATTTGGATGAGCGGCTGGACGCGAAGCTGTGGCTTGGCGTGATTTCATTGCCTCAGTGACTGATTTTCAAATCTGACATCGTATTCACCTACAGGCATTTTTATTGTGCTTAGGCACTGTAGCCACTGCAGGCATGCAAGCATGCATTTCATTTGTGATGAAACTCAAGATGTCGAAGCTCTGCGAGGCCCCTCGTGCTAGAACAGAATTTTGAGCAAGGGATAGCCTCAATCCACGGACTTCCATCGCACACGAACGTCATGCACAAGGACACGCTTGGATTCTTGAAAGTGGTGGCAGCTAATGACAAAACCCTTCCACCCATGCCTCCGAACAATTTCATTCAGAAACGCAACGGGTTCTAGTCAGTTTACTAGTCGGCCGTTTGGGGATGTGCTGGCGTGGATTGGTGCAGGATTTGCCTTCAGTTGTGGTGGGCACAAAATGCTTGAGATTGCACAGAGACAGAAGCCCAATCCCCTGTGAAAGACATTCAAACGCAGAAGCACAGGGAAAGGTGACAGCGAAGAAAGCATACGTCAGCTAGGTATCATCGCAGACACCTACTCACCACAGCCATTGCGACAGTGTCAGCATTGATTTATATCTGGAAACGGACACAGTCCATGATTGCCAGCTTGAAGGTTGACCTGCAAAGTAGGGCAGCAAATCCAAAGTTGAGGAACCTGTCTCCTCGAGACACATGCTGCGCTTGCGGCGGTTCCAATGCCACAGGGCGTGCGCTGGCCATAAGTCGCCTGTGTGACATATGCAGTTTTCATGTTGATTAGGCAAGAAGTTGAACCGAGCAAGACTGAACCCGGATGGCAACGTTGAAACTTTCCATGACTTCCCTTCTTCTGGAATTTCACAGCAGAGGGCTCCAGAAAGGTGTACCCAAGGTGTGGGATCGTACTGCAAGGTCACTTGTTTGGAGAAGTGGATCAGATAGTAGAAGTTGCTGCCCTGGTCCAGTTATATACAGTTTTTGTGCCCTTTATGCCCAGCAGAGGCAAACTTGCAAGCGCTGTGTACGATGTGCTGGAATCCATTGACAACAGCCAAGACGCTTCTCGTGATGTGGAGTGAACCCTCTGCGGCCGGAAGAACGGGTTTGCAGCAAGATGAGTTCCACATAATAGATCCCCTATGTAAGGATGTTAAGGGGGGGAGTCTTCACAGGATGACGCATTTTGGTACAAATTTGGTACAAAACAGGTGGCCTAAGGACTCCTCATCGTTTCCCTGAGCAGCGCTGGTACCCCCGAGCATGCGTTGCTGGGGGCCGAATTGTGCGTTTTTCTGAAATGTACAGTTCAGACGCATGCTTCATGTGCCCAAATAGTGAGCTGTCCATGAGAGCTCTTTCTGAGTTGACTGAACTCTGTAAAGTGAGTGGTCCCAGGGGATCCCCCAGAACTAAACTAAAACGTTTTGCATGGTACGCGGGACACCCATTCCACAGAGGTTGGGCTTGAGCATGCCAGCATAACAATGCGAGCAGAGACAGCGGCCATGCTACCCGAGACCCACCGTTTTACATGCAAACCCTAACCCTAAAACCCAAACCCCTAAACCCTCAGCATGCCTGCTGAGTGCGATGCGCATGCCTAAGCCCTTAGGCACGCTTTTCGCACGGAACGTCCTTGCAAAATGACTTGCGTGACTTGTGCAGCGTCGTGAACCGCTGTCAGGAGTGTGAAAGCCACTTCAGCCTATAATCAGTTCTGATTCTTTCACTCATTAAACCCACCCAACCCCCCTCCAACTTAGACCACGCTTCCCCCCGCCCCCATACCCAACCCCTAATAGGACATTTTCTTATTTTCAGATCCCCCCCCTCCCTCCCCTAGATAGGGAATGATATTGAGCTCCTGAACGAAGAGTCGTCAGCCTGTCTGCAAGCGTGTGAAGCCAGCTGAAATGTAATGCTTCGATCTGTTCTCATAAAAGTCACGACGTGGTAACTGCTATCGCCTATCGCATGTGCGCACAAGGAAGTGGAGTCACAAATCCCTGCGCCCACCATCGCGAGCCTCAAGGCAGTTCTGGATGGCCCTGATGGGAAGCAACTGCTGGAAAGTCGAAGCTGGGTCCGCAGCTGACTCCTGTGCGGGAAGCATCGTAGGTGTCGAAGCTGTTGAGGAATTCACCAAGTAGGTTCATTCCCGTCAGTCTCAAGAGCGCTCAGGATTGCTGCCGTTGACCAATGAAGAGCTGGCTGCAGCCGGTGGCTAAGCTGCAAGTTAGGAAAGGCGTCGATGGCTGGTTGAGTCGCAGGCCTTGTGGTTTGCAGCATCGGCAGCCACCAGACTACACAATTCCAACCATTTGAACATGAAAGGACCGCCGAGACAAGGTAAAACAATGCATAATATGCAATAGTTGCATCTTGCACAGCTTTGCAGATCTTTGCAGCACAAATGACGCAAGTGGCAGTTGAGACAGACCTCTGCGCTTCAGCAGAAGGCAGCGTAAACTGAAGCCCTGTTTTTGACACATGCTTGAGCTGTGCCTCGCTGTAGGAGGCCTGGCTGGGGACAGCTCTGCCCACTTGTATTTCAAGAAGCCGCAGGCATCCGCTGAGTCACACCTTTGGTTTCTTTTGGAGGGACTGGCAGGTTTGGTTGCAGTGAAACCTGTCATGAATCGGAAGATTTCGGAGGAGCTGCTGCCGGCCATCGAGCCTCACCTCAGCATCCAGGGAGGTTCCATGTTAAAGCAGGGACCACAGGGCAAAGTCACGGTCAACTGCTTTGCTCAGGAGCTGTTGGCAGCTCTTTTTCCGTCGCCGCATTCTGCAGAAGAAGCACGAGCTACCATGGATACAAACCCGGAAGAGCAGCGCCAATTGCAGGACCTCGGCAGCATGACCGGCTGTCCTTGACTTTCTTTGTTGCCAGCAGTTGAGTCACAACCAGACAATGCGCAGTTGCAGTTTTGATTCCATGCTACTTTTACAGGGAAGCACTTACAGATTTTACCTCAGCACATCAGTAAGCACATACTTGCCCGCAATGTACAGCTAACCTTCATGTCTCCAGTCCTCGGACGGTATTCGAGACAGACAGGTAGAGGAAGCAGAGGTGAGGTAATCCTTAGTTGCGCGCATTTCCGCCTTTTGAATTGCAGAGATGATCTGCAAAGTGCGGCCTCGAGCAGGTAGAGCTGGTTCGATCCGATTGGCAGAAATTGAAAGCACCATCAGAATGATGTACTGGGGACATGCTTCAGGATGTCGAAAAGCGGAGTAGCAGTGACCAGCTCAGCCGTTTGCGAAACTCGATTGCATGTGGGCCAGAAAGCAGAACAATGAATACACATGAACCAGCACTTGCAGTGCTCTATGTAAGCTGAAGAAGCCTGCTTTAGCCTGTTCACATGCAATTTTCCATTCCGAGCAAGCAGTTGCTTCACCTGACCTTAGGTGACATGGGCTTAGGCCACATCGGCCCAGCGATGAATGCAGCCATGCACTTTCTTTCCCACAGCATGATACTTGGGCAGAACAGCGCCGAAACAGTCACAAACTCTTGAATGTTCTGTGGTTCACAATGAGCCGAGGAAGGCCCTGAGCTGTTTCTGGAGGATTTACTTTCTAGCAGCCTGGTAGGCAAAAAGAGTCCGCTGTGAGAGCAGCCATTGCGAATTGGAATTTGTTTTGCAAAGCCATGAAGATAATGCTGACCAGCTGCAAGGAGGCACGCTTCTGCTGTGGCATAAGATTGATTGAAGGACTGATTGACAGTACCGGGCAACGTGATCCATAAGGTGCTCTCTGCGATTTCTGGGCTGGCAGTGGCGTGGTGGGTCAACCTTCTGTGTACCATGGCAAAGCCATGGTCGGTTGACTTGGCGTTCACACTATCAATGCTGCTGACCCAAGCAAGAAAACAAAATTCGAACTCGCAACACCCTCCTCCAGCTCTGTCCATGAGCCCTGCATGACATCCCTCTCCAGTTTTCGCAGAGTGTACGAGGCCCAGGGCCGTGTCTACGTATTCTAGGTGTCGATGTGGCTGAGCCCTAGGCAGACCCGTCACCTACGTCGTCCTTCGAAGTCATGAAACTTAGGACGCAAGAAGGCGTAATAGCATGAGCATGCAATAGCAGTGCCAGGAAGGCGGGTCAAGGGTATCAGGAAATAATTCATTGGGCGTGCTCAGGAGAAGTTCTTCGGCCAACGGCAGCAGATGGAACAAGTCGACATCCTGATGCCCCTGGTCCTGATGCCTGATTACCTTCTTTGTCGCAGCATGTTGCCGTAGGTTTTTGGTGACTTTAGTTGCTCCCAAATCCTGCAACAGACACTGATATCTTCAAGTAGAGACCCGGCTGATACCGGCAGCTAGCATTTTCAATGTTGGCCTTCCTTCCAAGCACCTTCGGTCTGCGGCAGCGCCTTCGCAAACCTCCTCCGTGACTTCACACTGAAGTCCCGTTGAAAGGTTCAGGGTTGCATTTGAGGATGTTTTAGGAGGAGCAGTGTCGACAGGTGTAGTATAAGGCGGGACATGTTTGACTTTGTCATTCACGAGGCAGAATCGTTTCAACTCACAGCGGCTGATTGGCTTCTTCCTGCCAACAGATCGTGTGAGTGAGTTTGCAGCAGCGCTCGGGGACACTTCGCCGCCTCAAGTGTAGAGCTGTGAAACGGTCACAGTCAGAGTCAGCGGGCTGAGCTTGCTTGGGAGACTTCCCATAAGCCTAGGGATTTTTGCCTGCGAAAATCTCGGGGTTGTCATTGCAGCCGACGCACCATTTCCAGTGCGGAGCGGCAGACACATGGTCTGTGAGACCCCAGCATAATATGATGCTGCAGCCGCTTGGTCGGCAGGAAAACTGAAAGCCCAAGGTCGGTAGGCCAATCGATCTGTATTGCTCGTTGCATCTTGCTGATCTTGGTGCATGTCACGATGGCAAAAATAATTGAAATTAGGTGTGTAACGTATCCTTGTGGACAGAATCTGTGGATGCAGATCCCAACTTCCTTCTAAGTATAGTTTCTCCCTTGAGACGCATTGGTTCTCAACAATGTTACGTCTACAAAGATGCGCCCAGCTTCTTCAAATAAACGCGCCACATCCAAGCAGCAGTCAAGCAGTGATCTTGCCCGTGCTCAAAGACCGCGGCAGGATGTTTAGCTACGATGGGCAATTCCTTCACTCTTGAACGCGTTCACTGTCATGCAGTGTCCAGCTGCCACAGCATGTGCGCTGTTTCTGTTCTTGGCCACCGCAGCAGAATGTGTGCATTGCGGAGCCACTGATACACTTACTGTCACTGCTCCGGAGGGCAGCAAGCCTTGCCAGCACAACTGCAATGACGTGGAATTCTTGCCTGCCGAAAGCAATTTGCTTGGCCAAGCCCAGCACATCACGCTCACGTGGTTCCCCTGGTCGCAGACTCTCCGCCTAGTGAGTGGCAGCATCTCATTGGCAGGCTTGTGGCTGATGCTATATGTCGGCAGCCCGGAAACGTTGGTAATTGCAGCAATTTTTTTGGATGTGCTTATGACAACCATCCTCACACCGCTCGCGCCCACGCTGACTCCAAGCTACCAGAAGATTGCAGTGCTGACGAGCTCAAAGAATGTTGTGACGTGCCTCATCGCGCCCTTCGTTGGAAGCTACATTGATGGAAACGAAGCAAAGTCCATGCAGCATGGGATGCTTTGTGCGATGATTTGCTCTCTAGGCTTGGCGGTAGCAACTTGGCAACGGCAACTCTTCAGGGGTTCTGCAAACACGCTCTTCTGGGACATTCTATGCTCCAGAAACTGGGTTCCTCGAAGTGACACATTGTGGCCCCCTCTCGAACACTCAGTGCTTTTATTCGGACAGGGCAGGGTGCTCCATTCTGACATGTTAAGGCCCTGTGTTGGGCTTGTGGCTGTGGCCGAGAAGATGCAAGCTCAAACAATGGGACCTCAGATAAAACAACCGTACAAACAAAACACATTGTTGGCAGACACATGCAGATGCCCAGGTAGAGAACTATTGGCTCTGGCTGGCGATACGCTGTGTCAGCGGCTGCTCGACAGTTCCCTGGCAGAGACCGTAGTGAGGGCTATGCTATGCTATGCTCCATAGACTCCAACTTCTTGGACATATGCCGTAATCAGATTTGCGGTCTGTCATATCATCCAACCTGAGCATCAGTTGGAATGTGGGAGCCTGTAGCATGATGTGATACATGCGAAGTTGTTACACGCTTGATTACAGTTGACCTAGCAGTCTAGCAGATGCCACTATCTCGAAAGCAGGCCATCGTGCGTGAAACAAAGAGCACAATTCGAGATGATAGGATCGGCTTTTTCTGCGAACACAGTTTGGGCCTCTCCTTGCCGCTTCAACATGCCCGGAACTTCAGAGTGCGGAAAACCTTTGGTTTTGAAGCTAGCGCTGAAAGACTAAGAAGTGCGGGGAAGGAATGGGGACAGCCCAACCAATTGTGTGGAGCCACCGAACTAATCCTGGCAGCGCAGTGCGCGTTCTTAAGGCAGCTATCGTTTGGGGAGGCTTCGCGACCTTGAGCAGGTTGCATGCGAAGAAGGCGGCGCAAACGGGCTTGTATGGGCTTGTCAACCTCAGTACACTCAGTCTCCACCTCATTACGTCTGCTGGACCAAGAGCTTCGGACTTGGGTCTCATTGGCGACAGTATAGTGAGACAGGCTTCTGCGGTTCAACGTGGCTAGAGCTTGTCCACCGTGTCGCTTCAAGTAGATCTGCGCGGCGTGCGAGACGGATTCACACATTCTCCAAGCCTAGCAGAAAGCTCAAGGATCCTTGTGTTGGGACCTTGCCAGACTCCAGTGTAGCACCCGTTTTGCTCATCAAACCTTACAACAGAACCTGTGCAGGCTGCCAACTGCACGAAAGCAATATCTATGGCAACAGCTGGCTTGCACGCTGGAGTGACTGGGCCGTTGATGGAAAGCTTATGAAAGCTTCTTTCTTGGTCGCAGTCATGTACGTCTGCTCACTTTCACGTAAGTTGATTCGTTTTAGGGCCGGGCTCAGGCCCTAGATATAGAAGTAAGTGTAGATGAATAGTCTCGGGAAGGGCGCACGGCTTGATGTCGTGGGATGTTTTGAGTAAAGACTTAGGGCGTTGCTGTTCTTCGTTTCAAGGAAGGCTGCGCGGACGCCATCTCGTAGGCATTTCACCATAGAACACGGCAAAGACTCTGATGCAAACCTGGCCGTTGCAATTATTATGGCGCTGTTAACAAGTACTTGGCAGGTAGCGCTTGGTTCCGCAGTTGATTGTGCTGATCCACCCAACAATGCTCGCAACGTCCCCAACAGCCCAGGTGGTCCTGGGTCCGAAGGGTCCGCAGGCTGCATCTCGGGGCTCATGGCTCATCTGTGTAGAACATGAGGAGATGAATGGTAGATAGGCTTGCCAGTCCTTTGCGCACTCTGGGGGAGAATACGCAGAGATCGGTTGGAAGAAAGGATTGAGGGAAAAGAAAAAAGCTGCTCAGTGGCCGGACAAGGGATTCATCAAGAGTGGGGGGCCCGAAAAAATGTCGCGTTATTTGAGGCTTGGCCTCCTTGCTCCAACCTTTTTTTTTTGGGGGGGGCGAGTAATTCGTCCAGACGTTAAGCAGACAGAGCAGATTCGGCCAGACCTCTGGTATGGAGCATGCTTAGACGAGTGAGACATAAGCAGGGCAGCATATTTCAGCTTGAGCATGTACGCATTGCAGGGACGATCCGTGCGCAACAGGACTATTTCTCAGTCTCAAGACATAATGTGAAGTCTTGACGGGGTGGCCATGGAATGAGCATGATTCTTCCCAACATGTTACAGTCCCTTCTATAAGGACTCCGCCAATCATTTCGTGAGAGTCTCACCTCTAGTAGTTGGGCAGCAGGTCATGTTTTGCCGTGGTATTTCATACACGTTTCGCGCTGGGCACTGGGTTTTGAGCACATTCTACGCGATTCGGACTTTGGTCGATTTGGAGAGTGTGTTTGCAGGAGGTCTTGTTGATAATACCGTTCCTGTTCTAAGAGCATGAGCACACGGTCACCAGAGCATCCACGCCCAAACCATAATAGCCGCAGCCTTCGTGTTCTACGAGCGTACGGTCACTAGATCATCCATGCCCAAAGCATCAAAGCATCATACTGTAGCGTTTGTGTTCAAAAACAATGCGGTCACCAGAGCATCTTTGCCCAAAACCTAATTGCGTTCGTGTTCCAAGAGCATACGGGCACCAGATCATCTATGCCCACAGCATGATAACGGTTGTGTTCCAGACAAATGGCGAAAATCGTTTAAAACTTTCTGAACATAGATAGTTGCGTGCTCTTACTAAGGCGATGTTTCAGCCTGGAATTGCGTCAAGTGCCTGAAACAATAGCAGGCGTGTGCCAAAATGGAAGCAGCGCGTTCATGCAAAGTGTCCGAAACACTCCGGTAAAATATGATCTGTTAACCCAGTAGTTGCCATCTCGTGCTGCATCTAGTTTGCCGTTGAATTCTCCATTACATAGCCTTCCTCTCGAATTAAGCAGGCATATTGACGTGCCGGAGATACATTGCACAGCGACACCCTTGCTAGTTCAAGCCGCTGCATGGACGGATTGTCAAGCTTGATCAAAGCAATGGGGCAGTCCAAAGAATCTGCAGTAAAGTACGCAGCCCCATGTTTGATTTAGGGCTTTTGCAAGCACAAGCCCCCTTTTTTCTTGCTAGCTAGGGGTTGACAGACATTTGTTGCTAGGCTGGCGTTTTGTTTGTGGATGACGCGGGTTCGCTCTTCCCTCTCCTCATCGCAGGGCAGATGTGTGCCCGAAGCGCACAACAGAAACGTCTAGCGATTGCAACTAGTGACGTGCAGCCTTGGAATCCATGATTGGGAAGCGAGGTACATATTGTATGATGCGTTGCTGGCTCCCAAGCTCCCCAAGCTCCCAGAGGCAGATGCAGAAAGAGCCCGGGGAGGCCTCCTCAGGATTCTGCAGTGTACGTTCCTGTCCATCTCGAGTTGTGAAATGAGCGCAGCCAGCTCACGATGAACTTCGCATGCTGCTTCGGTGTATGCCCAGAATCCTGCAGACCCCAAGTACCTGTATATTTTGGAGATTGTGGTATTGCAGCACAAAAAGGTCTTGCAGGAGATAAAATCCTCATCTATTTCTGGACAGTGCTGCTGATGCTTGCTTCTACGACTGTCGCTACTACTGTTGTTCTAGCGGCTACTAGTAGCGCGGCGATGGCCACGATTGTATGCAGCCAGCGTTATTGCTACCATGATGATGTTGAATCACCACTAGCTTGGTTGAGGCACTGTACTGTGCAACAACTATCATCGTCGTCGCTGTCGTCGTAGTAGGAGCAATCGCAGCTGCAGCAGCAGCACCAGCAGCAGCAGAACAGCACGACGGCAGCTGCCACCAGTACAAGGACTTCCAACTGCGACAATCCGAACACACGTATCCTTGATGAGGTGCTGCTATTTGATTACATGACATAATGGCTCTTCCTGTGGAACCCATCCCGGGCTCATGGGTATCAACTACGAAGCTATCCCGGAGCACTGGTCTTCCCAGAAAAGGCAGCATGCCAAACTCCGCGGCTTCGAGCGCCACGGGAGGCCAAGGTGGGCATGATCGGACTGTGGCTGGACAGGGACATACGAAACTAGACTGCTTTGGGGCACTACTTGCCAGCAGAAGCCTAAAGGAACACCTACACGCAAGTTCTGCGTGTGAGGAAATTCAGTTATTGCCTCGCTTCTCGCCCTGTCCTTCATAGCTGCGCTCGGCTCTACTGCAATTGAGCACATGGTCCGCTTGGGGTACGACCAGATGAAGCAGAAGCTTGACAACATAGTCCGTCCGCGTTTCTTTAGCATGAGGATTCAACTAGCTACTACCGTGACTACTTACAGATCGCCCATTTCTTCCCACGAGGCTGCGCAGCCAAGGAACCTGACGTGGCTTTTTAGCTCGGCTCATGTCATCCTCTCGGCGCATCTTGCCCTATATTGTCACCTGGATAGTCTGACTTCAATGCCTAAGTCGAACAAAGCCGCAGTTTGCCAAATACTTCAGTTCGCTGACTTCGCCCGAATATTTTTCCATATCATGCAGGTACAATGTTGCGGTGCTTCAATGTCTCTTTGACAGCCAGATGCTCCAAATCTTTGCGATGTTGGGTGGCTGCAGTGCAACTGGGTTGCGTCTGGAAAGGCTTTTACAGCTGTCCAGGAAAAGGACGTGCACAGCTGGACGCAGCTGTATTTGGATTCGTGTCTTTCGCAGATTTTCGCAGTAGAGTTTCGAGATTGAAGAAGTGCCAAGATCTGAGCCAGGCTTTGATTTGTTTGGGCTTAGACTACATCCCGCTTGCTGTCACGCTGTTGGGTGCGAGCTTCGCTACTGGAATCGCAGATGGAAACACGCAAGCTCTGTTGGCCCGTTGGAGCCATGAAAGATGTGGTGGGACGACTCCTCAGTTGCGCAAGAGATCATAGGACATGTTGTCACTTATCATAAAAAGACGCCGAAGAGAAGCCAGAGTTCACACTTTGGCATTCCTGAAGCTGGGTCCACAAAAACCATTTCAAGGAAGGTTGGTCACCGCAACAAGCAGAAGCCGAAACGTGGGAAAAGAAAAAACACCCATACACACTCGTGCAGATCTCCACTCCAAGTAAATGAAAAATCTCAGTCTTCACCTGTGGGACCATTGATCCACTACGATGCCACATGTTGGCTTTCTTTATGTGCCTCCTGGAACCTGACATGTTCCCCTTCCACTACTTGCCTCAAAAACACAGCGCTCGGCAATCTCCAGCACGGGAGGCAACAGAGAGGCTTGGGCAGAGGAGGTATGCACACAGCACGACCCTATTGGGATCCTGATGGTGGCACCGCTAAGGACAGGTCAGGTGTTGGTCTTGTCAAACGTGGCAGATCAAGCAGCATGTATTTTCCGGTCAGTTGTTGGCAGCAGCGCCTGTCAGCACGTGACTTGGAGATGTGACTGAAATGAGGGTGCCTCGCTTTACCCATCTCTGAAGGCAGGGACTTTTGTTTGAGATCTAGTCTTCTTGTACTTTGGTTTTGGGCTTTAGTACAACGTTAAGTGAAGTAGTGCCCCAGTAAATCTGCATTCAATGCATTCAAGGTGAGCTTTCGTTTTATGTGCCAGAGCTTTGGCACCTGCATGTTGCTTTATGCCGTGTCCTTGGCAGCGCCTGGGTCCTTTCGAGAATATGTTTTTAGTCACCAACTCCTGTGGCCAGCTCCACCTCCCAATCAATTTTGCTAGCCCATTTAATTGAGTGTTGAATTGTCTGAATTGTAGATCAAATTGGAATGCCCATGGCATAGAGGGCAATTTCATGTCATTCCCTTACACTGAATGTAAACAGGTGTCCGCATTCTTTCGGCATGATGTTGAGCCACAGACGACCGGCAATCATTTCAGCAGTGGAAAGCTGCAGAGGAAAGAGCCGCGGTTGCATTGCAGTTCTGAATCCTCTGAACTCCAGATATTTTGGGGGTTCAGGGCTTCTCACTCTTCAAGATGATCAAATGTAGGTGCCTGTGTGTGTGTGTGTGCGTCTGTGTGTGAGTGAGCGCCCCTGTTTATTAAGGGACACAGCAGTACCCTTTTCATGTTGCAGTGGGGCAGAGGAGGCCCATAGAGCTCTGCCCACCGAAGCTCTCTACGGTGCCCTCAGGGCGCCAGGACTGATCATCCCGGCGTACCTGCGCAAAGTCTGGTGCTTGTCCTTTTCCTGAAAGAAGCCAGGTTTTCAGGCAGTGATCGAGCGCAACAGTACATGTCAAACATGTGCAATCATGCCAAAGTGCTGGGATCCATGTCAAACATGTGGATTCAGATAAATATGGCAAATCGAAGACGGAGAAAGCATCAAGAGAAAGAACAAGTCTTCCAACGCTGACGTGTCTGAAAGCGTGTTGTCCGTGTGGCGTTTTGTCAAAGCGGCGGGCGTAGCTGCCTCACCTTTATTTGCTTGCGGCGGACCAATTTTGATTACCACATCGCAGATCGCTGCTGGTCGAAACTTGATTCGACATTACTTGTTCAAGTCCTTCTGAATGATTTGATCTTACAGCACTTGATGCTACGAAGCCTATTTCCGGCTGCGGCTCTGACCTGCGAATCCACCTAGCAGCAGTTTGGGTTGCAGGGGACGCTGCGGACATGACTGGTGAAGTCCCTGCCTGGAGGTTCAATCCGTGCTCAAAAAAGAGACGCTGCGCTGCGGCTTTGCCTGCGGATCCAAGGCAGGTCCAAAACTTGAAATGATAAAAAACAAAGGGTGCACATTGTTTCTTCGACTTGCAAATCCACCTGATGCCCCTGATAATTGCCCTAATGATGAAGACTGTACCTCCATGATTTGTTTTGGAGCCCTATATCCACGGGCGCGAAAGCGGAGCTGTCCCAATTTACCAATTCTTGCAAGAATTGTCCCACTGCACCAATCCTACATACCCCTAGGAGTGGCTAGCCTTGAATTGTTCCCCTCCGTGCATGGCGCTGCCGGGGAGAGTGATGAAGCACAGGGAAGGGTCTGGCCGACGTGTGCTTTTGTTTTGAAATGGACCCCTGGCCAGCTTGAGCCATGGCTGTGAATGAACAAAGATATGGTGATGTCGAGATGCCTTCTTGGGACAACATCCGGGGCGCCACTTGCCGAGACGGGATTTTGTTTTTCACCCAGGAAATCCAGCGCCAGCATCCCTCTGGACTTCGTTGATCATTCGTGGGTCCCCTTAAATGTTGCATGTCGGAGCTTTTTCTTCGGGCATTGCACGCCGGAGGACTGCCCCCATGTGCACGCTGACACCTTTGCGGCGGCAGAGGCTGTGTACGCGGGGTACCGCCAGCTTTATATGAGCATACAGGAATATTTCAGAAATATCTTATGAAATTATACTGCATATATAGCTCGCTCAATCTGTGGGCTAGAAATTGTTGTGATAAGAAAGAACCACTGTCCATATATCAATGTCGGCAACTCCAAAAATCTCGTAAATAAATACGTCATCTGCCTGCCAGGTTCATCTTGATCCATATGTTGGTGCTGTTGTGGGATTTTCTCATATGCAGGATCCTGATATTACGAGTAAATATGGCATGGACGGATTGGCCCACGAAGACCGCTTACGAACGGTACCTGACACCGGGCGGCAATTGTGTTGGTGATCCCCCTGTGTCGCGAGCCGTTGCCGGTCGTGCTACACCTGGGCGCGGCAAATCGCCGAGCAGACCCCAGACATCATCGAAATGTAGGTTCCTTTGAGCAAAGGCTTCCTCACGGACCAGGTCTCCTCAATTACCCCCCGACATTGGAGGTTGCCCCGGCGGAGTCTATGGGTCTCCTCGCACTTTCGTTTGGCCGCACCGGGCCGGGACCTCTGACACAGCAGCCGCAGCAGGCAGTCAGCTTGGCTACCCCGACCACGGCTACGACCAGGATGCCTTCGAACCACAATAAGCAGCCCCGGTCAATTGTGAGACCAAAGTCCCAACGTCGAGATTGATTGGTGAAGCCGCCCGGTCCTCTTGCTTGGGCTCCTCCAGACTTGCAATGAGAAGGCGCGAACTGACCTAAGTCAGCCTTTTCGCCTCGAAGCCTTATATTTGAGGCAGAAGTGGTTTCGGAGGCCCAGATCTGGCCCATGTTAGCCTTTTCGCCTCGACATATCTCCGCTTGGGATGTGGCCCCTGAGCCCCTCCTGACGGCATGGTGCTTTCATGCTCTGGGGCGAATGCCAGTTGCCGATCTGCAACTTCTGGGCTGTGGGCTTGTTCCTCCGCCCGTATGATCAGCATAGATGAGTACCCAGAGCGCGTGGCGTGGAGTGCACCTTGCTGCTAATAGCCCATGGCATGGCAATGGGATTTTCGGCGCTGGACGGGGCAGACATGTGTCAGGTCGGAGGCGCCGTACGAAGAATAGTCAGGATGATGACGCGCAGCATATTTTGGATTGAGCCGCATTGGGCACTTCCCGTTTTTTGTTCAACCGCATGTTGTTTGAACTCCTGACAAAGACGGAATTAGTAGGGCGGAGATCACGCCTTTACAGTATGTATATGGTTTCCTGGCACCATAAGTCAAAGCTCGTGATTAATCTGCAGTGTTTGCGATGCTGCATGGCAATGCCTGCCGAACTGCGCCGAGGGGGCGCCTCAATAAGATCACTGAATGACCTTTTGCCTGGTGTCTGCCGTTTCTGCTCTGTGGACCGTCGCCTGCCGCTTCAGGAGCGCTCTGCTGGAAGCGTTGAAGCCGTGAGAGCACTGCCCTTAGTTTCAAGAAGGAGGCAGAAGTGTGCCTGAGAGTTTCCTGCCAACGAAGACGCTCCCACTGCACGGTGATATGAACGCTTCTGCACATACCTCGAGTGACAGTTTTTTTGCTTCTGCGTCACTTCTCCAAAGGACAAGTATGCCGCATTGCATGTTGTTGGACAGTTTTGAAAGCAGCACATGCTGACCTTCAGATCTTGCAGTAGGCATGGTGCAATACCTGTTGATGAACAGTCAGGCTTTCATGTACGTATTTTTTTTGCGTATGTTCGAAAAGTCTCTGACAATCTTCGAAATGGGAAGCGAGCTGGATTATCCATTTTTTGCGTGTGTGTCGCCAGCTGTGGAAACATTCGGGCAGGATATGGCAGTTCCCCGCAGTTCTTACAAGGAAACAGGGATGGCGCAATCCAAGTGTTGGTCCGGTATAACCCTAAGTGTGCAGGCCCTCTGCCCTCTTGTATAATCCAAGTACTTCCCAATTTCGCACGCGTGCATTTTCTGCACCAGGACTTGGGTGGTGCGACGCGCTGTTTGCAACACAGGGGGGAGGTGGAAGACGGGATCGGTTGCGTGGGTATTCCTATCCATTTGTTACTGGCATGACTTTGGCAACAGTTTGTCATTTAGGTCCTTAAATGCCGGGCAAGTAAGATTCAGATGCGCTGTTGACATGCGGTGCTGGTCAAGCTGCTGTTCCGAGCTTAAATTTCCATGTTTCGTCCTACTGCACAAGCAGCCCAGGTCGCAAGCTTTCATCTACCGAGCCCCAGGCACACCATACCCCAAGGGAGCCATCTACGGACGCTTTGACCACCCGACAAGGCAGTGAGAGTGGAGATGCGGAACCGGTCTTGATTTGCATCACATGTCTGATCAAAAGAATTTTGGGCCCTCTTGAAACTCTCCATTCGAAACTGTGACCGTTTTCAACAGCCTAGCGTGCCCAGAATGCGGGTCTGCTTGGGTAAGATGTACGATGCAAAGCCGCGGTCTACCACTTCATGAGGTAGGTTGATTGATTTGAGTTCCATGTTTCCGAGCATGCAGGTTGATTGCGTTTGGAGTCTCCGGGATTGAAATGAGGGAGGGCAGAAAGCAGACCCAACACACGCAATCAAGACCACAGCAGCCGCGAACCCACGCGTGCGCGCAACAGGATTTGTCGGCATCCCGTTGAGGCAGCAGCTAGGAGCCATCCAAACTTGCTTCGCAACAAGCATTGCCAAGCATTTTGGCAAACCAACGCGCCACGCTCCACTTGTTTGTTTGCATTATAGCCTGCATTAATCAAAGGTTGGTGTTCCACGACCTTTAATATGAAGGAATGCCAGGCAAGCCAGCCCTTTCCTGAAAAAGAACAATGCAACGGCTCAGGTGGTTCTCCATTTAAACAATAAACAACATTATCTTGATGCATCGGGGCCCCATTCTGAACGTCAGAAGAATGCCTGAGGTCTCAGCAAGTTCCTCTAGCCTGGGTTCAAAAGGAATCCGAAGGCCCTTCGCCAACATGAGCTCACCCACCAGGCTGAAGCTCGAGCAGTGCCATCAGTCCTGCGAGATGGTGCCGCATGCCTTGGCCTTCAGCACCTACGAGGCGCCGCTTAAAAGCGGATGTAAGCCATTGGAGCTAAGGTCACAGGGTATCACAGGGTTTGAGGGGTCATTTCGGGCTCTAAGCTGGGCAGGAGATGGCCAGATCATACGTTTTGCGCGCCAACGTTGGGAGAGCCAGGCACATTGCCCATCATAGCAGAACTATCTTTCGAAGCCGCAGCAAATCCCAAACCCTAAGTGCACACTTCCAAAAGTTATGCGATTTAGCATCAACAGAATGCCAATTCTGCTCAGTGCTCCTGGGGTCCAAGGTCAAAAAAGGCTCACCTAAAATTGCGGTGCCCCTTTGAAGGGGTCAAAATTAAGGCCTTACGCATGGCTTCTATAAGGCACTGGGGTTTGGAGAGCCCAGACCACATCTGCTGCGAAACCTACGTCGTACTCATGTCGCAGTGGTTCTAAGCCGGCTTTCTGTTCATTCTTCTGGAGGAAATGAATTGCTCGCCAAGCCCTTGAACTACCATGTGCCACAAAACCGAAACTTGCATATTGATCCTGCACTCAGCTTTGCGCTTGAAGGCAGCCGCCGCAAGTGTTTTGACGCTTCTCAAGACGGGGGATCGCATGCTGGCCCTGGGGCTGCGGCAGGACACGAGGTAGAAATTACCTGAGGGACTTTCTGGTGTCCGGCGGTATGCCTTGAGGTCCCTTGAAAATCTCAATCTCTTCACGTGATGCCATACAAACGTTGGCGGATTTCGACTGGGGCGCATGCATCATCAAGACTTGCGGCATGTAAACGACTATTGACCGTATGATTGTACGATGTTGTACGGTTGGGGGTTGATGGTTCTAGGTAGAAGGGAGGGTCACCATACACTCTGTGGTTTATGATGGTTGCAGATTCCCAAGTTCTTGTGCGCAAAGTGTTGGCATCCATACTAATGCCAACCCAACTCTATGTGACTACCTGTATGTTGACCTGCCTTGTTTCAAGCAGCCAGCCATGCATCAATGTCAAGGCAATTCCCCGTGACCATGCCGGCTATGCCTTCTTTATTTGTTTGAATGCGATGGATGCATGCGAGTATAGACCCCCACAAGCCCAAAGCCTCACATCGTTATCTACCACTTATAATTTACAATCTTTGGTGCTTCAGGTTCACCATATTCGTGGAACCCAGCAACTTGATGTCCAGCCTGACCAGAGGACAAGTGCCTACAACACTTCTTCAAAGAGACGGCGGCGCAGCGGGCTTTTCAGTATCAGGACGATGACAATCTCAGCATGAGCCAACATAGCGGATCCCAAGCAATCCCAAACACAAGCACGCCCACCCTTGGCCCTCCCAGACAGGTCCGTCCGTACCACCAACATGTTCCGCGTAAGCGCCAAAGAGCAGCCATATTTCGACTTCCGTTGGTTCCGCTACGGTAGGCTTGCATGCCTGACTAACAACCGACCTTCCAAACAAAGAAAATTCTTCACTACTTTTTGACATGTTTCTTATCTGGACTCTGCTTTACCCACCTTCGAAAGCGCAGGATGCTGTTTGTCGAATGGGTCTGTCGTCAGCCGAACGTGCTGAAATGCTTTCTGGCGCGAAGCTGTGCTGGCTTGACGGTGCTGCACTTGACGAGATCCTTTGGTATCTTTGGAAATACCATTTGAGCTGAACTGCCTGAAAGCAACCATCTTTTCTGGAGTAGTGTATTTGCCGTATGCATGGCATGCATACCACACTAAGTGATGTGTATGAAGGTTTCTGCCCAACTAGTGGATGTGGCAGCAAGCGGATTTCAAGGGCACCCTAACGTCCTAGATCCTGGACCTCCAGGCTTCAAATCCTTGAACTCTTGAATAATCAACAAGGACTGAGATCAAGGCTTGGGGCAAAGCCTGCAGTAGGGCTGGCGTTCTGCTGCTCACCGATGGGTCTGCATACCCTCCGACTGCGCAACTCCTCATGGACGGTGCCCAGGTTCTTTTCAGGGCTTCAAGTATGAGGCTCGAAGTATGGGCCTCTTCAATTGGCACGTGTCCTGTTTCCTTCTTCGGGGATGCGTCCCCCCTGCTCTGTATATGGTACTGAACATAGGCTCCCAGACTAATATCCACACTGAGTACCTATGGTTTGGACCTTACGGATGGTTTTCTGTGACATTTAGCTTTTTGAACCCTAGTGTTTGTATCGTGCACCAAAGAATCTTGCTGCAGTAGCCGTGTACCACGCCGCTTATTTGACGGGGTTCGAGTGAGGGGGCAATTCAAGAGCCGAAGCAAAGTGCAAAAGTGTTCACCCATGGTTTCTGCTGTGGGTCATAGGTCTTAACTGTAGCCTTTCCTATCCCGATTGATGCCGAACTTTATCTAACCAATCCGGGCCGTAGAATATTGCCGATGATCCAAAGGCCCTTCAGTCGCTCTTTATCCTTGCGATGCATTCGTTTCCGGCCGCGGGGACATTCACACCTGCATGCTGTCCACAAATGATCCAGCTGTCTTCAGAAGCATGCAGTACTTCCGACAGACCATGGGAAGCACACCTGGAAGCTTTGACTGCTACTTGAGTGTGATTACTGTTTCTGGAAGTCTAGTTGGCTCTAAATGGGTGAAAGCTGTTTGGGTCCATGTGCAGACCCAACCATGGTACGTTTGTATGTTTGATGCTGCTGCCGGGCCTGCCGCGGTTCAACAAAGGCTATTTGGCCTTCCGAGGGTTCATGAGTCTCAACGCGCGGCTGGATCGCCAGGCTGCAACCACCAAGTGTCCCGACTGCTTATCCGTGTTTATCCAAAAGGTTTTGTATATAAGCGTGAGGGAAGGTAGGACCATGTAGAACTGCAGTATAAGGTTTAAGCAGAAGCGAGTCCTCAAGTTGAAAAGCCTGCAAAACGCAAGAAACCTTAGAATCCTTGATGTTTCGTTTTGCAAGAACGTTATAGTAGCGCACCAGCCGCACTCGCTTCAAAAGCGCTAGCTGTCCGTGATATGTGGCAGCAGTCCCTTGGAACCTGGCTGTTCATGTTTGCGTTTTTGCCAAAGTCCTAGCTGCTCATAGGGAAACAACCCATAGAATTCCAGCTGCTTACATGGCAAGCAACCGCAAAACATTTCATGTCAGGCCTCCATGAAAGATTCGATACCTGCTTTTTCTCACTTCCAAGGCTCTTGAGTCTCAGCTGTTTCGATGACAAAGTTCCCATATGTTCCCATTTCTTTTTGTTCCAACTGTCTTGGTATAGCAGGAATCAGAATCCCTAAATCCTAGCTGTTTGTTGGCAAAAAAGTACAATCCCTGTCATGTTTGTATCAGGAAACCCTATAAGCGTGTCAAAAGCTCCACGATCTTAGCTATTCGCTTATCGTGCAAGATTTCGTAGAAGGCTAGCTCTCAGTACCTCCTACCGAACCTCCGGCAGGGTTCCCAGAGAAGTCACCTTTGCATGGAAAAGGTCCTTCTAAGTCTAGTGCAATATGTTGAAAACAAGTCTTACAGCCCGGCCAGGCCCTGCGGCTAATGCCTAAAGAAACCTGCCATCACAGTAGGCTGTGCAAAGCCAGAACCCTTGCAATCCTAGCTAGTTGCATCCAAAGTGTTTGTGGCAGAGCGGGCGAATACCTTGAGTCGAGGTTTGAGATGGCCAGTGCCCTAAACGACAACAGCGTAACCGACTCATTGCCTCGCTGCCGCCTTTTATAGGCGCCTTATGACCTCCAGACACCGGGACCGTAACCTGTGTTGCCAATCGGCTCCGGAAACGAGCGATTTCAATACGAAAGAAACTGTGCTACAGCTTGAAGAACTTGCTCCCGAATCGACGTGTCTTAGAATTGCTTGCCGTCGTCGGTCTCTTTCATTCAACTGACAGCTAGGCAAGCAAGGTACCTTGCAGCACAGCTTCGCATGAGCAACACGCTCGCAGTGGAAAGCGTGACTCAGACGAGCTTCCAGCTCCGCATCCTGGGCGAAGCTCTTGGCAAGGCCTTGTGCAGAGTCGATTTTAAGGGGTCTACTGGTCTGTCCGCAAAATAGAAGCGGCTGAGCGTTCTCGTGAGAGCAGGTTCAAAGGGCCAGGGACGCGTGCCAATTTCAAGTCTTTGTGTGTGTATATGTAGCTAGCATGTACGCCCTCTCTATCCACCAACCTGTTCGGCTTTTGTCCAGTGGGAAGAAGCTCGCGGCCAGGCTCCAACAGCTTTGCGCGGCCTCTCCAGGCTCTCATTGGTCTGCTCACATGCGCCCCGTGCCACCTTCAAGTTCCTGGACTCGGAAAGCTGTCTAATTCAAATTGCCAACAATTGCTCAAAAACAGTGTTGATGGGATGCCAGCAGATTGTTGCAGATTGTAGTAAAACAAAGCCCGCCCGGACTCCGACGCTACTATTGAAAGCTTGCTGGCATCCATTTACGCAGGGTCTGGTTGGGCCCACTGATGGTAACTTTTGTTTGCATGAAAGAGCTATGATGGCCGTGAAGCTGCAAGACTGCTCGCGTAGCCTCGGGCGTGCAGGGCGTAGTCCCGCATTGTCACGTGTAGGTTATCTTGTCCGCGTAGTCTGTGTAGTTTGTATGTTTAATAAGACATATTGCGCAGAGTGTGCCGCGTAGTCCGTTTAATAGCAAGAGTATCCCTGCGTAGTCTCTTCCGCAGGGAAAACAACCATTCCGCATAGTTCGCGTAGGCCCTTCATGTCAGTATAAGAACCTTTATAAGAAAAACAATGCTCATTTTGCCAGTGAGATAGCGTGTGAATTTTAATGGGTCGAGCAGCTCAAAAAAAGTGCGAAGACAAGAGGAGGTTGAAAGGTTGTTTCGGGATGAGCAAAGGATGCTTGCCTTATTTCAGCCCCAAGTGTTCAGCAGGCTTAAAGAAGGGAGTCAAAGTCAGAACATGGAGGGGCTTCTTGTAAGCCTTCTTACTTTCATGTAGTTCTTTCTCTGTGCTTTGCGCTTTTGGGGTTCTTCGCACGTCAACATGTGATATTCACATTTCAAATGCCAACATAGTGCTTTCACCACATGATGATACATGATGGTAGCTTTCAAGAGGGTGGAAACGCTGTAGGGCCCACATTTTATGACGAAATTCCTTTCTGTAGCTTAAAGAATTATGGAAGGACAACGCTGAATTCACATGTAAACAAGCGACACCATCTGTTTTTGCATCATATGGTGTGGATTTTCCTCATATTCTTGAACCTTGCGGGTGGGCACTCGCAGCTCGTGCTGGGGACTGTGCTTCTGGCGTTCGGGCTTTTGCCACTTACCGCATTCCAATTCTTGCTGCTTGCTTGTCCTGCAAGATGATATCCAAGATCCAATCCACCAAGGCATTATATCCTACTCCTAAATCCCATATCGCCAACAGTGACAATACTTCTTGGTGGAGTTTGCCCTGATTCCAAGGTTCTCTTCTCCGAAGATCCCTCCAGAGGAACACGTAGATTCTACAACTTCAAACTTGCACTGGTCGGTCTTGCGCACACACGCATGGGCAGTTCCGGGCAAGCTCCTCGGTAGCGCAGAGGTGCATGTACGTGTCTTTAGGGGCATGGGGGCTCAGCAAGAGCTTTGCAAAGTCTACAGTGACCGACCGTCTGGGATGCATGCACCGCTGGTGACCTAGTGCACTTATTACTTTCGTTGCGTTTCTCTGGACCAGGGAAGTCAACAACCAAGGCTTCACGCCGAGCCACTGGTGCAAGTCCAGGTGGAGTTTGCAAAAATTAGAAGGTGTTGTCAATGTTGAGTTTCAGACTGCTGTCACAGGGAAGCTTACACAAAGAGCCTCGGTGAATAAGCTCCATATACCGCAGGCTTCCGATAAGCGCGCACCAGCCTCTTACGGTGACACTACCCTATGTGTACCTGCTTGTAATCTGCCATTTGTATTCGTGTGCTTTGCTTCAGGCCTTGTCGGTTCAGGTGTATATTTTCGCTGCAGTGCTGCGGCACGCAAAGGCATTGAGTTCCGCAGCTTTGTGGACAACACCGTGTGCATGGCAGACTAAGTTCAACCCACTCTGGTGCCGTAGCATGTCATTGCCCTCGCACTGCACAAGGTCCTGGCGAGGGTGCCGCATATCATTGTAAAATTTAGCAAAAGTCACGGCACTCTTGAAAGACCCGCCTGCTCCGAGTTGGTCAAAGCTCAGGGCTGATGTATTTCCAGCCCATGCTTGGGGGTATTTGGGGGATGGTCCTTTGAGGGTGTGTATGGCGACCTCTTGTTTCAGGTGTCTGTGTGGCGGGCTTCTGAGCGGGGAAATGTAGCGTCAACATGGCTGGGCTTTGCAGCCGGAGTGAGGCTGGATATTGCATGCAAGCTTGGGATGTCATTTGCGGGGATAGCACTTTTTGGTATCATGTTGCATGCATGTCTTGGACACCAGCCCAACTGGGGCAATTTCACTACTTGAAAACTTCTTGGGAAGGTGCGTGTGTGGACAGAGGGTCCGACAAAAAGGATTCTACCCTGGGGCGTCTTCTCAGGTTGGACAAGTGGCTTGAGCTTCGCAGCACTCAGCCTTCAGATACCTGTGCTGCGGAGTGTACAAGGCTAGGTGAAGGAAGCACTTCTTTCACCCTTGATGGTCTCACTTCGCTTGGAATCTGCGGCGCCGAACATCTAGGCAAGGATAAGGCTGTGCTTTGCGCGGCGATGGCCAATTCGTTCGGGTGACCTGGTTGGGTCAGGCCTGCAACTTAACGCAGCAAACGATCTGTGTGAGTGGACAAAGATTGGGCCAGTGGGTTGGGTCCTTGCGTTTCAGCCTTGCGCATCTCTGGAAAGTGAATTCTTGTTGGGGCCAGGTCGTTGAAATGTGCCTGCAGCGGCGCTCGCAGAGCGTTGTTTTCACCCCCGGACAGCTGCAGTCAACCTTACTTTGCAGCTCACGGTCGCCATAGGTTTGTCGGTACCTCCACATGGTCTCCTTGATAGGAAGAAGGTGCTGCGGTGCCCGGGTTGATTGTGAGTCACTTGACAGTGCCTGTTGGCTGTTACCCTGCTTCCGCGCTTGTTCCAGATATTTGCCGATGGACCGGGTGCATGGGTTCCATGTAGTCCCTCCTGAAACAGTTTTCGCTTCAGGGTCTAAGTTCTCATGAGCAGTCGGCAGATCACAGTCCATAACCCTGAGCTTCGACCACTGCCTTAGGCAGATGGGATAAAAAGGGACACTGCTTCCACCCTGCACAAAAGGTCGGCCTAGAGTGTCCCACTGACCTGCTTCGTGACATATCCGGCGCTTTTTCTTCTGGTGCCCTGCCCCAGCCGAAACCGGTAAATGGCTTGACCAGCCGCATGCTGAAGCTTGGCTCAGAAGATCTCAGAAGGATGTCAGGCGCTAGCCGCTAGGTTGTTCTTTTTTCGGTTGCTAGCAAAAGTTGCAGCTTGTCTTGCTTTGTTCAGAAGACAGGAAAATCGCATGCGATCCTCTGGAGCCAGACCGACAGAACGCTTGCGCCCAATACCCCCTGAATGTGTCTTGGGTGATTCTATGATTTCAAGTTGTGGCTGCATGATGATGATAACCCATCTTCGGGGAATCTTGGCTAGCCTCAACAATTTCCGAGTGTTGGCGGGAACTCGAAAAGCCATCATAAGCAATAGAAAGGACAACGACTTCGGTAATGAGAACTCAAGAAAAAGAGGTATGGATGTCATATGCAGCCTCAGTTAGGTATCATCCGATCTTCCCACGCCCGAGGTGGTACTCGATTTTGGCAAAACGGTTTCGTGCTACAATATCCCAAGAAGTATCAAGAAGTGCCAAAGAATTGGGATGCACAAGGAGTTTTGCGTAATCAGCCCAGGAACTCTGCATGCTGGAGAAAATGGTGGCAGAAGCCCACATTGCGAAGTTTGCCGTGGCCTTGGCCAGTGGCTCTGCCGCTTACCATGTTCTCCTGGACCAGCTGCTGGGCCTAAGAACCGAATCCGGTTTTGTAATAGCATTGTTCGAAAATCTCGGCCGTGCTGATAAGAACGCAGTGACAAACATAAAGAAACTATGTTTCGTCGCCGAGTCCAAAAGAAATGCGAGGCTAGCACCGGGTGATCACGCGGCTTGGCGGACGTGGAGTCGTATTTCGCTTTTAATTGTGTACTTCAATATACCAGGAAAATAGTTTGCTCATGCACTAGCCGGAAGGGAACATGCGGGGATCTGCCCACAGTCAGTAAATCAGAAAATACCCTCCCGCCCCCACTCTAAGCACATCATAGTAATGTGAGGGTCACTTTAATTAACCTCCCGAGTTGCTGGCAGAGCAATCTCAAAACAAAGGTCCGGAAATGGGGGTCGTAATAACAAACTCTGGGGCCCGAGTTCTTTGTTGTTTTTCTGAAAAAGGAATGGAGGCTCAATTCAACAATGTTCGAAATGAATAGCAATGGCAATGTAGGCCAACGTAGGCTTGAATCTGCACTGGGCTGGCTTGGTTAAGAAAATATGACTAAGGCTGATTTCGAGAATGCTGTTGACTTACACAATACATGATAGACATGATTGAAATTAGGAAGCAACATCTGGGGTGATTATATGTTACCACCCTTTTGTTAATATGATTTGGGGGGGCTTGGTCTTTGGAGATTCGTCTGGGGATTGGAAGTCAAAAGCGGGCTAATAAGAGTTCGATAATTTCTGGCATCCCTGCAGCTTAGGATTTTTTTCGAGCTTGAACCTACTCTGGGTCTGGCTTGGTCAAGTAAAGCATTAAAGGCTCATTTCAAGAATTCTTTTGCTGCGACACGCTCTTGACCTACCTCTGCTTCAAGTGTGTTAAGGCCTGTGCTCTTTCAGATTCTACTTGCATCTGCACAGAAGCAAGCAAAAGAGCTCTTCGTTTGCATTGCTTTTATTTGATTCCGATTGCAAGCCATGATTTTTGAAGATTTTCAGTATCATCGCCACTTTATAAACAAGTGCCCCCGGCCCGCCCAGTATAGAGGGTATATCAAGCAGCAAACCACAGGTTTACAATTACCATCAAATTTGGAATCCTAAATCTGAGGGATTTTCGCTGGCCAGGGGAATTCCATCATTATCACCCCTTTATAACAACGACGCTTACATTACGCTGTAAATTCCGTGGCCATTCTTAGCAAGGCTTCTCTGCCCAAACTTTGCAGGTAGCCCAGCCTGAGCAAGCCAGGTGATTGCCAGCAACAAGCTCTTTGTCGGTGCCTTCGAGGCCTTCCAAGACATTGCTGCAGATGCCTACGGCGTGACGTTCACCTTCGTGGACTCTGGGAATGGCAGTGGTGTTTATAGTCATTGACAGTGTTTAGGCTCAGGGCCCTGTAGGGATATTTAGATTTAGATGTTTAGATTCGGTGGTTGGGTTCTCCGAGCCTGATGCCTGCTCGGCGGCCAGCCAACACCTTCACGGTCATAGCTGTACGGGTGCGGCCCCTTGTCATGGCATGGTCTTGAGCGGAGCGCAACGTGTGTTCTTGGCCCCCCTCCGGCTGTTGGTTTTCAACCTGCCGGTGGGCTTTTGCACTGCAGTCCATGACATTTGCCGCCTCCAAGAAACGCCTTCTAGCTTCGTGAGATGTTGCTGCTGACGGCAAGGGTGCACACTGAACCTTAAACGCCAAGAAGTTGGAACTTGGAAATTCGATGACCTCCCTGCTTGTCCCCGAATGCTCAGCAGAAGGGTTCCCGTTTTGAGGTTGGGGCCCACGTCTCCAGGCGGTGACCAAAAGTCGTTGCGTTCAGGGATCGGGGGAGGTCCTGGTCGCGAAGCGAAAAAGTATGAAAAAGTGTCGGCACTTTTGCACACTCGAAAAGTGTCAACAATCACTTTGATCGGGGTCCTGGTCGCGAAGTGAAAAAAATGTCGGTACTTTCGGACTTGCGTTTGGTCCTCGCATCTGAGAAGTGTCAACAATCACAGGGATCGGGGTATCCTGGTCGCGAAACGAAAAAGTGTTGGCACTTTTGGATTTGCGTGTGGTCCTCGCATCTAAGAAGTGTCAACAATCACAGGGAATCACAGGGATCTGGGGGGCCCTAGTCGCAAAACGAAAAAGCGTCGTCACTTTTGACACGCGTTTGGTTTTCGCATCTCAAAAGTGTCAACAATCACAGGGATCGGGGGTATCCCGGTCGCGAAACGAAAAAGTGTCGGCATTTTTGGACTTGCGTTTGGTCCTCG